GGGCAAAAGAGCCTGTTACCAGGATATGGTTCAAGGGAGGCTCCTGGGCAGGAGCTAATAGTAACTATCATTTACCAAGTACTTGCTTAGTAGCTAGTTATCATGCTAAGTGCCTCACATCCATGATCTTGCCTCATTCTCACAGCATCTTTATGAAGTAAGTTTGATGATTCATTTTATAGATGGGAGAACTGAGGCTCAGAGCTCTTGCTGGAACTCTTATTTTCAGCAAAATGGCCAACTAGGTCATACAGAAATTCTCTGATGATAAGGTACAACCATTCTTATATAAAATTGAGCAAAGAAGAAAAGGGAGACAAGGGAGCCCTGGATTCTAGAAACGAGATGAAGCTGATGGGCCAGAGCAGTGGGCACAGGAGCCCAAGCTACAGCAGGCCTGGAAGATGTGCAGGATCATCAGCGCCAGGGAGACTCAGAACAGAATAATTTCACAGTCAGCAGACAGGGCACATCCACAGTGGGAGGTTGGAGCTGAGGCCTCGCATAAAGCTGGGATCCTCAAAGGCTACAGGTCACATGAGAAGAGGACAAAAAAAAAAACGGTGCCTACTAGGCCAGAAGGATGACATGGAGGCATTTCTCTGCCATGGCTTGTTGGAGGTGGGAGGTGTGCTAAGAGACCAAGCCTATACCTCAAAAGACCTTGAAATCTAAACTGACACACTAGAGCAGTCCTAGAACTCCAACCTAAGAAATCAACCTGAAAAGTGGTCCCAGACAAGCAGTACCCCTGGGGTGGCCAGCTGACGTAATCAGAAAGCCACCCTGGAGGGTTAGTTCAACCACACAAGATTCCCATAGGAAAGGCAAGCCTTCCGAGAATTAACAGAATCATAGAACACACAGGAAATGATTGACCATGAGCTGGAGTCAACAACTACAACATGCAGAATGATGACCACTCCCAAGAACTTAACAGCCTGAAAAAGACTATAAAATGAATACACCTTTAAATGACTAAAGAGAGAAAATGATGTATAAAAACCACAGAACAAGACAAGATCAAGAAAGAAACAGGTGGATTTTGAAAAGTTCCAAATAGCCTATCCAGAAATTTTAAAGTAAGATAATTTAAGTTAATGACCCAAAGAACGAATTAAACAGCAGACCAGACACAAATGATGGGAAAATAAATGAAGTAGAATAGAGATTTGAAGAAATAAATCAGGATAGAATGCAGATAAAAAGATGGAAATTAAGGAAGAGGTTGAGAGACATGAAAGCTAGGAGAAGATCCTTTAAGCATTTAGTAGTTAATTTCCTGAAGACTAGAGAGAAAGGGAGAGGGAAATATTCGAAGAGCTCAAAACCAAACTTTGCAGAACTAATGAGAGGCACGAATACTAATTAAACGGCCATGGTGTGGCCTATCAGTTCCTATGTGGGGGAGGCACGCATGCTGGGTCCCATGCTTGCAGGCAGACAGAATCTCAGCCTGAAAGTTCATCTCTAGAAAACGTTTATCTCATTGTCACAAGACATCCAAGGTAAGTTTTGTGCTTCACACTTGGCTATAGAGACAGATTGGTGAGTCTAAGGAATTCACCATCCTTCTTTTTCTCCCCTGTTGTGCATATGAAGAAACTGAGGTTTAAAGAAGTTAAGTAACTTGAACCAAGTCACACAGTTTGCATGGGAATTGGGAACTGGGGTCCAAATCCAGGTAGTTTGCCTGGAGAGAGGGCTCTCTTAAGCACTGCGCATTTGGCCACCAATCACAGAATAAAAGGCTCCGTCAAACTCTGGTGTCCTGTGACGTGGATGCTGGATTCGTGGGACAGGACTGACCTGGGTCAGTCATTTATTCATCCCTCAAACCTCTGTGGATTACAGTCACTGTTCCTGTCCAGGTCTGGACCCTGGGATACTGAAATGAATCAGACAACCCCTGATCTCTAGGAGCTCATCGTTTGGGTTGCAGAGTATGGGGGTCAGGGGACAGAGAGAAAATCAAAATTATAAATATAGAAAGAGACGTACTGTGATGGACATTGCCCAAGAGGCTGGAAGAGCACAGAAGAGTAGTGTTTCACCAAGATTCAGAAATTCAGAAATTCATGTTCTCTGCTTAAGAAATAGTTCCTAAAAGTCTCTCCAGAGACATTACATGCCTCAGAAAGAACTGAGTTCAGATTCTGAGTCAGCTTCTTCACTGACTACGTGACCTTTACCAAGTTACTTTACCACTTTGAGCCTCTGGTTCCTTTTCTCTAAAATGAAAGTGACAACAGTGGCTACTTCATAGAGGATTCAATGATGCACTCCTCGTAATATATTTAGCACAATGCCTGGCACTCAATAAATATGGCAATTCATCATCATCATCGTCATTTTAATATAGATATTAATAAGAACAGCTGTCATTCCTGGCTAACCTCCCCCAGGACTAGAGAGCAGACATCCCTTCTCACAGGAAGCAGTTCTTTCCAGGTGCCACAGAGCTGAATGTTTATAAAAGGGTAAAACACAGGCTTCCAGGGACTGCTTTGGTGGTAAACAAGACCAGGCAAGAGCTAATAAAATTTCAAATTAGCCATGACTTTTCACGGCCCTTCAATTGTGCTAGCTGATTTAATGGTCAACGTCCCTGCTCACTGGGATTGAATAATGGAGCATTTCTGCAGAGTTACGGATGAGACAGCTGAATCTGTCACGCTAACATCAATAGCAGAATGCAAATAACCCTCAGCTTGGGCTGTAATTATGTGTTTAAGCGATGTCTGACAGGGGCAGCATGAGAATGTGTGATGGAGCCTGCTGACTGCCGGAGAAGACAGGTGCTTTGCTAGGCAGTTGTATCTGGGAGCTGGGACAGGAGCCACAAGTTAGGACCCAGATCAATGCTGGGGTGAGGGAAGGCATTCTTTCCATATCTCAGAGTGAGTCTAGCAGGTAAGCAGACAAAGGATGAATGGCTCTTCACGTTGGTGAGTCATGTTCTAGGTTCAGGATCGGGAAGGGAAACTAACCCAGAGTTAAGCACTATGATACCATGTGTCAGATACTATGCTAGATTTGGGGACATAATGCTGCACTTTTTATCTATATAACAAATACTTGTATGACACTCACTCTTATTATCCTCCTTTAAGAGATATGGGAAACTGAGGCCGAAGAGTTTAAGTAACTTGCCCAAAGTCACACACTAGGAAGTTTCAGTGCCAGGATTTGACCCCAGACAGTCTATCTCTGGAATCCATACTCTTTATCACTATCTGTCTTCAAGGAGACCGTAAGCTTTTCAGCACCATGCAGATATGGGAGAGAAACAGAAAGGCTTTTTGTTACTAATTTATTAAGGGAAAAAACTAGGTTTTAGGGCAATCAAGTAGCTTACCTGAGGCCACACCACTAGCAAGGAGGATTGGGGACACCGAGTCTAGCCAATGCATTTGCAATACTTTGGTGGGCAGCTTCTGTATTGTAAACTCCGTGAAGAAAACTAGAGAGGTAGGTATGTCACTGTTACTCCCACATTATTGAAGAGATAGGGCTCAGAGAGACTAAGTACAGGAACTTGTCCAGGGTCATTCTTAGGGGCCATACTCGGTCTTGAACTTTAGTCTCTGAACATCATGGTCCTCCTACTATAGTACACTGCTTACTTGAATGGAATGAAGTTACAGTTTTCTGGCTTTTATGCACTGGCATTTGTCACAACCCCTGCTTCACTGGTAAATTCATTCAATTCCCATTCATTTATTTGTATAACAGTTATGTTTTAAGCACCTCCACTAAGTGCTGGAACACAGAACGTATCTGTGTGCTCCCACAGTGGTGGGGGAGTTTGCCAGAGTCACACAGCTGAGATGCAGCAGAGCCCGAATTTGAACCCAGGCAGGAATACATGTTGTTAGACTGTTGTCTGCCAACAACACACACAGACTATGACCCTGGGCTTTTCCTGTCCCCCACTTTGGGCACTATCTGCTGATCTCTTTGTTGTCTATTTTGAGCTAGTCTGTTAATATTAGGTGCCTGTAAAAGTACTTTGATATAATGAGGCCAAAAATCTGTGATCTGGTGGACTTTCTTTGTACGTTGGGAAGATAGTAGAGCTGTAATACAATTTCCAGTCCTGAAGAAGTCCATCCATGTGGTAAAAAGAATTCCCTGCTAATGGCAACTCTGTCAGGGATCTGAAATCATCCAACAAACTCGAAAAGCACAAATATCCCTGCAGCCTCCTCTCCCAGAAAGCAGAGCAGGCCTCCAGAGGGCCGAGGACTCAGCCGCAGGCCACACGCTTACACTGCGGCTGGGAGAGATGCTGAGAATTGCTGCGCCTTCACACCCAAAGCCAGGCAGTCACCAGGGCTTACAGTTTTACCTCCTAAATGTCTCTCAATACCATCTACTTCTCTTAATTGCCACTGTTACTACTGCAGTCTAAGCAACCTTTATTTTCCACCTGTGCAACCTCAGTGATGCCCTCTCCTCCTGTCTGGCTCCCAGCTTCCACTGAGGTCCCCTTCGCTTTCAGCAGTGCACACCAGATGAGTCACCTCCTGCTTAAAATCCTTCAGTGGTTCCTATTGTCCTGAGGGTGAAATTCAAACTCCCTAACCTGGCCCGCAAGGCCCAGCCTGGTATGCCCCTGTCAACCTCAGCAGCCTCATCTGGTGCTCTTCCACTCACCTTCCGGCCATCAGCATTTGAATATAGCATCACAAATATTCATGTGTTATCTCACTTCTGGGTCTTCATACATACAATCCCTTCTATCTCGATGGAAGGAAAAACATACAGTACAGACACTGTACACTTACTGTCTCTCTCTCCTTCTAGACTAGTGAGCTAGGACCACATCTGAGTCACTTGCATCTCTTTGGTGCCTAGCAGAGACTTTGGCTTATATCAGCATTTAATAAAGTTTTTTGAATGAGTGAAAAATAGAGAAGAAATGAATGAAGGCATTCTGGATAAACATGGCTGATTGAACATAGCAATATAAACCACATGCTCTGTCACTCCTGCAGATGGCCTGGTGGACTGCATGGACCCTGACTGCTGCCTCCAGCCCCTGTGTCATGTCAACCCGCTGTGCCTGGGCTCCCCTGACCCTCTGGACATCATCCAGGAGACACAGGTCCCTGTGTCACAGCAGAACCTACACTCCTTCTATGACCGCATCAAGTTCCTCGTGGGCAGGGACAGCACGCACATCATCCCCGGGGAGAACCCCTTTGATGGAGGGTGAGTCCGAGGGCCCCAGCTCCAGCCAGGGCTCTCTGAGTGGGAACTGAATCACTCCAGAGCCTCTTTTGGATGAATGGGGGTGGGAGGAAGCCAGGAGAGTGACAGCATCCATGGTTCCTGATGGAATGTCAGGGGAGGCAGATATAAAACTACTATCCAAGGAGTTTGGAATTTTTATGAGCAAAGTTTTGTTGCTCCCACTGGGTGACAGATGAAGAGAGTGAGAAACCAAAGGTCCAAGGGGAATCTTGGATCAATACCCGCTTTGCAGTCAGCTCTTACTGATCCTGTGGTCTCCAGATGAGCTGAAAGGCATTGATGCCACTCACCCTCAAAGCAGACATCCAGAAGACTTTGCTAGGCGGGGGTGGGTGCATCTGCTGCCATCCCAGGCCACATGCCCATACAGTCTTCCTGTTTTCAGTTGTGTCATCCGTTGGACAGTTTTTTACTGAGGTCTGTCAGGTCCTTTGCTGGGAATGCAGAGATGAGCAGACCACAGTTCCTGCTTATTGGTCACTCCCAGTCTACTAGGAAAACAAAAAAAGGGACAGTTACAGTGTGATTAGGTCAGAACTTTGTCCCCAGGGCACTCTGGAGCACAGAGGATGTATTCCTGGGTAGGAGGGAGGCCAGGGCTTTAGAATCAAGTCTTAAAGAGGAGAAATGGTTAACTAGGCAAGGAAGGGAGAGAGTGTGCCAGGGAGAAGGAAGAGCTCATACAAAGACCCAGAGACACAAAATAGCTCTCTAATCTCTGCACCCTAGATCAAGCGGTGAACCAGTACAACATATCCAAGAGCAGGGATTTATGATCATTTCTTTTGAATGTCTTCCAATGTAGTGGTGCCTCATATGTGCAGAACTATCTCTAAAAGTCAGCATGGTTAATTCAGCAGTCACTGTGCACCTTGTATGTTCATTTTTCTGTGCCAGAGGGTCCCTATCCTGAGGGAACAATGGGGTAGTGATAGGGGTGGGAGGGGTAAGGGACATTTTCAAGCTCTGTTTAAAGGGGAAATCAGCAGGACTTGGTAACTGATTGTGTCTGCGGGATGCTGCAGAGAGGAATCTCCCGCTTGGATGCCTGGGTAGATGGTGATACTTTCACCAGGCTGAGGAGCAGAGAGCAGGAGCAGGGTGGGAGCAAGGTGATAAAGGGACACACCGCAGTAGGCCACCCAAGAATAAATGTCTATCTGCAGTTAGTAAGTATTTCTGGAGCTCATGCAGAGGTTAGGGCCTAGAGTTCTTGATTTGTGAGCCATCAATGAACAAGCAGTTGAAACCGTGAGCACACAAAAGGTTGCTCAAGGAGGCCAGGTGCGGTGGCTCATGCCTATAATCCCAACACCTTGGGAGGCTCAGGCAGGCAGATCACTTGAACCCAGGAGTTCGAGACCAGCCTGGTCAACATGGCAAAACCCCATCTCTACAAAAAAATTAGTTGGGCGTGGTGACAGGTACCTATATTCCCAGCTACTCAGGAGGCTGAGGTGGGAGGATCACTTGAGCCCAGAAGGTTGAGGCTGCAGGGACCCAAGACTGTGCCACTGCACTCCAGCCTGGGTGGCAGAGCAAGACTTCATCTCAGGGAGAAAAAAAAAAAAAAAAAAAAAAAACCTTGCTCAAGGGGAATGTGTAATGAGGAAAGAACAGGGACTGAAGAAGAAGCCATGGGGAGCCTCCCTGTGAGGCAGCTGCTGTCATCCCCAGAGTGTGACAAGGGAAGCCAAAGAGAAGGCCTCACTGCTGGACCATGATGGAGCGGGATGCAGACATGCAGGTCTGTCAGACTCGGGAAAGAGCCCCTGCACTTCCCACCACCCCAGCCCATCCTTGCAAGGAGCCGTGACGAGATGAGAAAGGTGAGATGGAGGAGGCCCAGCAAGGGCATGGCAGCATTCAAACCTCCACCTTTCTAGAGATAGAGCTACTCGATGGTCCAAACCCTCCACCTTACCCCCAGAATACTGAGAAGCTGAGAAGTTAAGTAGCTTTCCCAAATTCACAAGGCTGGTCAAGTGGCAGAGCCGGAGTGAGGAGAACACCTATTCGTTTATCTTGGCTAGAAATGCTGCTGCTGTTCCTGGGGAGGAAGCTATTTTCTTCAGTTGTATGATTTTGTATGTATGCTTGTAGGCCTTCCCACAGTGCGAGTTTTTTTAATCCACTAGAGATATAACTAATATTCCTACCAAGGAAAATGTCACTTTCTCAGTCATTCTTTACGGGGCCCATTATGGGATCCAATTAAGGCCATGGCTTGTTGGTTGCCTATGGTTGTTCTGCTTACTGGATGCCCTTGCCATGCCAGCCTGATCAATGCCAGCAGGGGCACGTCCCCTGTATGTCCTCCTGGTCACCTCCTGAGCCTGCTGCTTAAGCGCCATGAGTCACTGTGGGACCTGCACACAGGTCTCAGTATTGTTGCTCCAGCAGGTCTGACTGGCCTCAAGAAGCCAGCCAAGAGTTTGAGATGCCTGTGCTGGGGGAAATGGACCCCTCAGCAGTAGGGAAGATACAGGCCTCGGAGAGAGGCCACCTTGGGCTTCAGATCCTGGCTCTGCCACTCTACATGCACAGCTCTGGACAAGTAGCTTAATAGAGTGCGTCATGTAAATGTCTGTCACCCCCTCTAAACTGAGTCCTCCAGGGAAACACTTCATCTTACACATTTTAGCACTTAGTAGTTGCTGAAAACATATACATATAAATTGCCTTGAAGAATAAGGAAATGGAAGGACTGAGGGAGAGAGGAAGGATGGACATATCATCTATTACACCTAATTTTATACTGAAGATTCAGAATCCAGAGAGGTTAAATCACCTGCTAAAAATCAAATTACAGATTAGTCACAGAAGCAGAAGTCGTCAACTTGCAGATCATTGTTTATATATCTGTTACCTTCAGCTGGTTATATACACTTTGAAAACAGAGACCATTCATCTCTCCAAACCTGCAATACTTTGGCCAGGGCCAGGGATATAATATTTGCTCTTCAAGTGAATAGATAATAGAAGCTTCCAAAAATGTTACTGTCTCTTAAAAAAGAAGTTACTGTAAAAATTCCTTTTACCTAACATTTGCCAGAATCATTATGTACCAGCTCTTCACTGGTCTAGATTCAGAAGAAACAGCTCTCAGGAAGGACCCCTAAACAGATTCTTGTGTAAAATATGCCCAAGTGACTAGAAATGTAGACACTTGAGGCAGCAGATGCTTTTCTCATTAGACTGCCTACTTGGTATTCGATTACCTTGGTCTAGACCAGTAGGACAGTGCTTATTTGCACAGTTGGGGTAAAGTGAAATCAGCTACCCAGTTTAAGTAGTTGCTTTCTTTCCTCTCATATGAGGGAGTGTGGTATAATAGCAAGTGCCCAGAGTTACAATCCTGGCTTTACCTCCCACTAGCTGTGTGTGACCTCAGGGAAACGATTTAACCTTTGTGTCGGTGGCTCTAGTTATAAATTGGCAATAATGGTAACTCTTTCATGAAAGCTGTTGAAAGGATAAACTAAAATAAAGCACCTGGCCCAGGGCTTAGTACATATTAGGTGATCAGTAAATGGTGGCTTTTGTAGCAGCTGCATGTCATAGTGAAAATAGCACAAGCCTTGGAATCCGACAGATCAAGATTAAAAGGCTGTTGCATCAACTTTCTAGTTTTGTAACCTTAGGAAAATTCCTAAATTGTTCACTTATCTGAGCTCCAACTTGCTCATCTGTAAGATTAGGGTGTTAATGTCTATGTATCTTGGGATTGCTGTGAGAATTAAATGGGGACAAAAAGTACATAAAGTCTCAACCTAGTACCTGCCACACAAAAACTTGCTTGCTAATTACATGGCGGTGATGATGATGTTAATTAAAAAGAGTTTCCAAATCCACTTCCTTAATTGGAAGTAAAACTTGAGAGGAACCTGCCCTCCAGGTCCAGCAACCACCCAGAGAGGAGGCAGATTTAGGCTGTTGAGGAAGCGAAAAGGTGGCATTCTTGCCAGCTGGCTGTCAGTTGGGATCCTTATTAGAGTGCAGCCCAGTGGCATTTCTCCAGAGAGTGGAATTTCTGATGGGGAGGCAGACCTGACTTGGTGCCTGTGTATGACAATTAGGCCTGTGTCCAACCAACAAAACCCCACATTCTCCTGCACCCCATGTGCTATGCCACAATTCATGTAGTTCCAGATTTCATTTAACAGCCTCCAGGAATCAGGCTGTCACCCAGAACCCAACAGCATTTCTGAGACCAGCAAGGAAAGGCAGGCCTCAGAGTGGAAGTCCTTCTCTCTGCAGATTCCCAGCTGGATCAGGCTCAGGGAGCCTCAAGTATGAGGCACACTGGGACCTCAGCTGCCGGCACCAGAGGAGAGAGAAGAATTCAAGGACAGGGCTTAGAGCCAACTGGCCCACCTTGGGTGTGAAAGCAAGCAAGCCAGTCCCTAGCACCCAGGGCTCTCCCCAAGACTCACTTCCTCAGAGGCCAGACCCTATCTCCTGGAGTGATGAAGGCCTCCCTGAGGGGCCCTGTCTGGTTCATCTGTGTCCCCAGGGCCCAGCACAGTGTTGGGTCCAGAGCAGGTGTTTAATGCAGGTTGAATGAGTACAGTAGCTCTATTTGATATCCTGCCAAACTGCTGTCCTCAAACCCACAGAAAGTGACAAAGCTGGATAGAGAGTGACAGATATGACCTAAAGTAGGAGGGGACAGAGTAGACATGGGAACCACTGTCACCAGATTAAGTGGATTGAATACCACCATTCTCTCCTGGCCTGGATGCCCGGGTCCCATCTGCCTAGTGGAACACTTGTCCCTCCCATGGAGTCATGGGGAGAATACAGTGAAGGGGGTCCACTGTTGACACTTAGGAGAGGAGGAGCTCTGAGGTCTGCAGGATCTCCAACTGCACTGTCCATACAAAGAGGCCAGGACACACACGTGGGGCTTGGAATCAGAGAGCTGGGAAACGGAGGGCAACATGAGACATCTCCTG